GATGGATCTCTACCACCGGTCGACCTCCTCCACCTTGCTGCTTCGAGGACTTGCTGGTCCTTGGGGTTGCCTTCACCTTTGGCTTGGGCTTGGGGCGTTCCAGCTTGGCAGGGGGAGGGGAAGTGTTTGCAGCGGCAGCGGCAGGCTTTGCCTTGGCACCAGTACTGAGCTTCGCTTTGGCAGCAGCAGCAGACGCACGTCTTGGCTGTGGAGAAGGGAACGGAGGCTCTGGGAGCTCCTCTGCACGCTCCTCAGCATCCGAGGTGATGACCGGGGCAGAGATGAAGCGCTGCTTCTTTTTCGGTCGCGCAGATGCATCCATGGGCGGCTCTGGTTCATGGACAGGCAGCTGTGGGGAAGCAGAGACATCTGCAGTGGGCTCCAGGTTGTTGGAGGGAGTGGCTGGAGAAGTTGTGGCAGTGGCAGCAGCAGCAGCGGTATGGGAGCGATGAACACGAGATGAGTGTACAACATCTGCGTGTCGCTCAGCGTCCAGCTCCTCTGAATCCTCAGACTCAGCAGACTCCTCCTCGTCGTCCGAAACGCGCTTGCGCTTCCTGCTCACCGCCTTTGTCGACTTCTTTACCTTCTTCACCTTCTCCTCTGCCTTCTCCTTCTTCACCCTCTCCCTTGCTGCCTTTGTCTGCGCCTGGGTCCTCTGCTTTGCTGCCTTCGAGTCCAACTCCTCGATGTAGCCAACGCCGGAGCCAGCTAGCCGGAACATTTCATTGGGGTCACCGCTTTCCTTGGTGTGGAATGGCATTTTCTCCATGATTGGGCCCTTCGAGTGGTTGAAGTCGAGGACAGCAAGGATGGGGGTACCGTTGGCAAGCTTGCAGGGAACAAACTCCCCAAGTGAGGTGGTAGCGTAGGCAAGCAGTTCCTCCTCGGATGCATCTGCAGCAGGCTTGCAGCGGCGGTCGATCGAGGCAATAGCAATATCATCTGCAGATAATGAGTCAAGGTGCAGACAGATGTATCAGCTTCACGACTTACCTGCCTTCAGCTCACACCACTCGAAGAACAACCCAAAGCAATGGTCATTGACGTCCAAGCTGTACCGCGGCTCCATCACCTGGTCGAACTCCTCGATTGAGCCCATCTCAATCTGCCCAGTTCCCCGTCCTCCGCTGATCTTGCATGACTGCTCCTTGTTCGGAGTCAGAGTCCCAGCTGGCCAGTTCCTGCAGCGAGCACCGAGGCGCAGGCAGAAACTGGCCAACTCTTTACAACGAACCTTCAACGATGATCCCATGAGGGAGAAGTGAAGGTCGAAGAAGGCGAGGCTGACCAGATTGATCCGCCAAGCCAGTCTGCACTCGATTGCAGGAGCTCGAGCCAAATCCTTCTCGACCTTGGCGGCATTCTCGTCGGGCTGGATGGGCTGCAGGTGAAGGTCACAAATGGGATCTGGTCCCTTGTGAACGGGAATCCGGACGCCGTTTGGGAGAACCCGGTATCCCGCCCGGTAGTCTGGGAAGTCGAGCCCAGTGGCTAGCACAAGCGGGATGCCTCCAGTGCCATTGGGGACACCTGAAACAGGACCAGCGCCAACATCCGGCTCTTTGTCGGCAGGGTAGGATGGGAGCAACGAGAGGTTGGCTCCATTGTCCTCTGTGGTGGACGGCGGGAATGGGGGAGGAGGGCGAAGTCTTGGAACAGATGGATCTGCGAGAGGATCAGGGCGGACAGAGACATTTGCCACACTGACAGAAGTTAGCCTTGTTATCCTCGAATACACAATGAATACTCACCTGGCGAGAGCGTGGGCAGCACTGCAAATGCCCAGCTCAGTGATCTGCGCCTGATCAAGCTGGCGGAGCTGAGAAGCAAACTTGTAGTAGTCAGCGTCATGTAACAGATGCCTGCTGTAGCAGACTCACCTGGTCTTTCTCCAATGCCGGCATTGCCACCACGTTCGAGAGCTTGCCATTGTTCACGAGCCCGCCGGTAAGGACAGCAAAGCCCTCGAAGCGAAACAGATTATGCCCATACTCCAACTGCAACAAGACTGATGAGAATGCATTATGAACGGATGCCTCTGTCCCACTCACCAACTTGACAAACTGCCGAACCCAATCCGCATACTTCCTGTTGCGCTCACCGTTCGTCTGCTTCAGTGTCACCGCCTGAAGCAGTCGAAATGTTGCAAGTCCCTCCTTGGGATCGTCCATAGTGGCCATGAAGTGCATGTAGCACTTCTTGATGAGTTCCGGATTGTCAGGCAGCAAGCCCTTGCTGAAGTCGAAGTCGGGATAGATGGGTCTGCCAAGGATTTTGGCATTCAGATAGAACATCTGCGTGAACGTGTTGAAGTCGTTCACAGGGCGCAGCGAGGGAAGCTTGAGCTTCTTGGCAAGGAGGTCGGAGATCTGGTCCATGCCTAGAAGATGCTTGTTTCCAATGAGGGACAGCATCTGGAGGAGCCAGCTGAGGTCGTTGTCGAGCGCCTTTTGCTTCTCCACAGTCAGCCTTTCGCCGGTGACAAGGGACTCGATGTCGATGGGCTCGAAGGCGTCCACCTCCAGCTCATTGCCAGAGCCTTCCTGCCTCTCTTTCCCCTTCCCCTTTTCCTTCTGCCTCACCCTCTTCTTCTCCTCGTTCTTGTCCTCCTGCTCTTGACCGTCCTCCTCCCCGCCCTCCTCGCCATCCCTGTCCTCGTCCTCCTCTCCACCCTCCTCACTGTCAATCTCAGCCTCCTCCTCGTCCTCCATGACCAAATTGCTGGCGACATCATCTGCCTGCTCAGCAGTGTTGTCAAGATCCATCTGTGCCCCGCCCTGAGCCTCGGAATCGCTGGGGAGAGTGGTGATGGCAGGAAGGATGGGGGACGCGGAACGCGGAGCAGTTTGGGCCGCTTTTTTCGACCTTTTATGCTTCCAGACGTCTGGAGTGCGCTGGTTGAGCAGGTTGGCAGCTGGGGCTGGAGTTTTGGGAACAGGAGTGGGAGTCTCTTCACGTTCGGGTGAGGTGAGCATGGTTTGGGCGGGGGTGATGGTTGTCTAAGAGAGAGGGAAGAAAGAGTTTGCGTGAGAATCCGTGGTCAGATTGATGTGATGAACAATGGACCTGTGCGTTCCACCCCTCCCACTCTGCCTGAGCCTCCCGACACTTCTGCATCTGCATAACCTGCCGATTGAACTTGTTTGGCGAAGTAGCCATTGCTGGCCGCAGCACACAATTAGCCCCACCCCCGATCTGAAACTCCTCTCTATCAGCGTGCTCCATCTCCACCATGGGCATCTGTTCAGTGTGCGCTGCATCGAACTGCGGCATTTCAAAGGCCAGGAAGTCTGGATCGAGGCCCACAATGCCGTCAAAGTTCATGTCATCGTATGAGTTGTCGAAGTAGCTGCTGGGGGAAGATTGCGGGAAAATGGAGTCAGGCTCCATGGGCTCGGGTGTTTTCAATAGTCCACTCCTGCGAGAATGAGCGGATGCCTCGGGATGGCTTTAGAGAATACACGCATGTGGTTTGACGCATTTTGACGCGTAATTAACACGCGTTGGACAAGTCTTTTTTTGTCCGGGCCCAAGATCTGAATTTCTGAGCTGTGGATTCTAAACAACCGATCAGCGAAAGCAGACATTCATGATGATAACCTACTTTGTTTCTGAGCTTGTTACAGGCTTGTAGTGGTAGGAGTGGAAGAGAGAGGGTGGATTGGGGGGAAAATTGGTGTGCATGTGACTTGATCAATTGATCATTCAGTGCTAAGTGCCAGTACAGATGGGTCAGGTTAGCTCATTCTGGATGCGGATGAGTCTGGTTGTGAGCAAAACCAGATGCATCCAAACACTTTTTCAACACAGATGTATCCGTCTGGCACAATGATGTAATGAATTTTGTTGATCGCTTCGTCAAAGCGCCGGATTACGTCTTCCGAGCAGCCAATGGGCTGGTGTATAACGAGCAACATTTACAGAATCAATTTATACAATTCATACAAGCCTTAAATTCACTCGAAAATATCCGGGATGAGATCAGGGAGGTTGCCCGCATAACATATGAAAGACCCAGAGTTGCTAGTACCGGTTGAATTTGCTGTGCTCAAAAACACCCAGATGACTAGACGAAGCACATTAGCAGCTTGTCTTTAACTCTCACCTTGATCAATGGGCTGTTCTGCCCTTCACTTCTCAGCCTCGGAAAAGGCAGCTGCTAGTCGCCAGAGCAGTCTCAAGCATTCCCAGAAACTCTCGTGTGCTCTCCCTCTGTTCTGGGACGATTGGAAGAGACTTACTTTTTTTGATGTGCAGTGTAAAGCAGCAGCGTTCTGAGCGTACAACCTCTGTGCATCGCCGGAAAGGTGCCCGGAAACTTGCATCCTTGTCCTCTGCACCTCCTCCGTCCTCTGCCATGCTCGAGGAGGCAGCTCTGCCATGCCCCAAGAACATCATCTGTACCAACAGGCTCTGGCCTCTCCTGACGCTCTCGATGAGTCCGACCTTCAACGCTGGAAGTCAGCTCCGCCGTTTGTAGCAGACGACAATGACTCTGATCGTCTGTCAATGGATTATCTCTCGTACACATCATCTCTCTCTGCCGTGCTGCATGGTGTTCGACTCCGGGAGCAACGTGAATGAGATCTCAAGCTTCGGCAAGCCTTCAGAATGCGCCAGAGAACAGCAGCATTGAGCTCTCTCACTGCAGAGGTTGTGCGGCTGCACCTGGATTGGAGGCTGCCCAGCTTATGCTTCAGAATGAGCACTATCATCCTGTTTTGCACCCTCGTGAGCTGTCCATGCTCAAGCATCATTGTCACTGGGTTGCACGTACGATTGTACATCTGCATGGATTGAAATTCCTTGAATAGAGCGTTTTTAGGATTGTAGAGCTTTGACAACGTCTTTATGATCCCAGATCTATTCACAATGATTATACAAGTTCATCCCTCATCTTAATGTCTTTGAATGAAAACAGAGAGGTGACATTCTAAATCATGGACAATGTCTGTATGTGTTCTGCAAAGATGTGCCTGGCCCTCTGAAGATCTGGCTCAGCCAGTGCTGGAAGATGATGCCCTCTCATAAATGCACCCATTACTGCCAGGATCCAAACCCCACAATCGTAACCATTTGTTTGTTTTGGTTTTCCCTACATTTGTGAGTCGGCAAGAGGAATTTCGATTTGAGACCAAAATACATACCGGTGTGAACAGAGAATATGCGTGCCAATCATTTTCTGAAATGTTCAACCGCTTCCCGTGCCGGTTTGCAAGGGCGGTCATGCGTGATATGAGCAAAACAAACTCCTGCAGATGCATCAGTACGAGTAGAATTCGAGTGAAAGAATGACTGACCTGGAGTTCCTTCCGGAAGCAGCTGTGCCCAGAGAGACTATCAAAGAAGAAAATCTTCTGATCGGGGATAGAGGCCACTGCAACAACCCAGTGCTGCTGGGAGGCGCGATGGATGGGGAGAATCCAGAAATCCTTCTCCCAGTAGCAAAGTGGTGACAGTTCAGCCCACATGAACTTGTCTCGTGCTTCCGAACGGATCTGTGGAAGCTCATAAGTTGACAGCAAAGCACAGCGACAAGCATGCACATTGTATGGACTGTGTTCTTGACCAAACATTGCAAGCATTGAGGCGGCTACACCATTGATGCCATGCCCACTTAGAAGGCTAGTCGGATTGATAAACCTGGCCAGATCCTCCGCCAGAATTGTCAATTTCTTGAGCTCGTGACCGCGAACAACAACATATGGGACATCACCACGATATTTGTTAAGATTGTTGTTGCGATGCTCGAGCTCTATGAACATGGTTGATTCGTATGTGATTTCCTAACCGTGGATGAGTACATTGGAATGCATTTAGAGCAGGGCTTACTGGACATTCCCAATGTATTGCGACATTGACATCTGATTGCACCAATGCAGATGTATCCTTGTCATCATCAAGACCGACATTCTGCAGGGTATCCTGCATTTCAAGGATCTCGATGTCATCATCAAGGTTCTCTTCAGGGATTTCTTTGACCAGTGGAATGTCCGCTGATGCAAGATGAAGATAAGCACTTGCGCTCCCATCAATATTCTCAGCAGATGCATCCAGATCAGGGCTAGGTGATCGTGCAGATGAGATGATGGCATCAGCAGGATTGTTAAGATGACTGGAACTCTGCGGAACTGGCACGATTTCTGGTGTTGATAGAGGCCGATGATTTTCAGCACCAAGATTTGGGTGGCTGATGTTGGTCTGCGTGCTATGTTTTGATGCAGATGCAGCTGCACTTGAGAACCCAGACATGAATATTGTTCCACCAGAGAAAGGACTCAAGGTGTATTGTCCAAAGGACTTCCGCCACCGTTTAGTCAACCTTTCGAGATCTGTGGCCCGGAGCTGAAGGAGATGCTGAAGCAGTGGATCTCCTGCTGCCTCATGGATGCATCTGGATACAAGTGCTGTCTCTGCCAGGAGATACAGCTCCAGGTTGGCACGCTCTCGGTTGAGCCGTGGCATCTCCTCCGTGCATCGATCAACAGAGTGCATGTTTTGAATCCCATCCCGAACATCTGAGTCGTCCAACCAACACAGAATTGCTCCAGATGATGGTGTGACGCAGACATCCTCGTACAGTGTTAGGTCATTTTGGAGAGACGCTAATTGTGTGGGTAGTGGGTGGGGAACAGGTAGATGACAGCATGCGGGGAATTCCTCCTTGGCTTTCTCGCACAGCAAATTGAAACGCTCAATCAGGCGATAGAGAATTGGATGTCGCTTAGCCATTGCCTTTCGAGTCTGTTGGTGAAACTTTGTTCCTGGAGCGAGTCAGTAGGTTGCTGAAGGTTCGCAGAAAATTGCGCACCCAAACTCTCCTTCTTCCCACCTACAGCACGATCTAAAGTCTCCATCTCATAAAATGACCCAACTGCACACTTCCGGATGTTTACTTTCAAGTCATGCATTGTAAGCAGCAACTTGACAAAGTTTGCCAGCAATCCAGAGAGCTGGGGGAATGTGTGCCGCAGATTAAGCGATGCATACAGTGCATCTGCATGGTCACTGAGCTCCATGTGGGTGTCCTCCATCTCATCAAGATGACACAACGTCTCCACAGATGCGCCTGAGGTTCCAATTGACTTCTTCACATCGAGAATGGCGGTCTCAACAGACACGATCTGATTCTGGAGAGTAATCACTTTGTCCAGATCTTTACGGAACCGCGCAGATGCCTCTGTACGCACACATCAGAGCCAAAAAAAAAGACAAGGTATATTTGCCTACTGATGTTTCGGCTACTCTGCGCCGCTTTTTGTTCCCTCCACTGAGATTGTAGCTCTCTCTCTGACACACGACAGGCATGTAATGTCTTGATGCTCTGTCGGTACTTGGGGAGAAGATTGGCCTGCTGGCGATCCAACCAATCACCAAGCTTCTCAGCGCCCTCCTGATTCACGAATGCGGTGTATTCATCTAGCATCCAGATACGACAAGATTGCTGTTTGAAACTAGTCAGAAACCGTCATCCTGCATGCACAAAAGAGAGCATACCCATTGTTGCCAGGTCAAATTGATCAGTTTCCGGACCTGCAACCAAAAGCGTTCAACACCTTCCATGTCAGACAGGCCCATTCTGACAAAGAATCTTGGACTATACACCAGCTGACAATCCCATTCGTGTCCAAACGAATGCATGATGTTGATCACAAATGCGATTCGCTCCCGAAGAGTTGGAAAAAGCAGTGGGTACTGCACAGATGCATCAGCATTGAGACTTGACTGTTGTAAAGACAAGCCAAGTGGCACGAATGATCCATCTGACATCCAATATCGTAGGCCTGTAAGATTGTTGCCACTGGTGGAAGAAGAGATGCGACTTTGTCCAAAAGAGCAACCAGATAACACTGCTGCTCTCCTGGGGTATCCATGTTTGCCAGAAACAACACCTGTGAGTGGCGACAGGTGAGAACAAAGGCACCAGTTGAATCAAAGTGCCTTGGATCAGCCTTCTGCTTGCTCTCGTTGGCAGCATCAAATGAACTCTAACATGAGTCGAGAGCAGCCTGAGGAATGGCAGGTTTGAATTTGCGAGGCGGCTTGGCTCTTGCAGCAGTGATGCGCGCACGAGTAGTTTCCATCTCTGTGTCACTCAGGAAGTATGCTGGGGAGAAGGGAATGGGACCATCTCCAGAGGAGCAAAGATGTCGTAGGCTGAAACACCCATCTCCTCCCAGCTGCACATCACCACCTCTGCCAAACGTTCAGAGAAGTTTATGGCCATGAGAAAATGCACTCACTCGCTCAGCAATTTTCCCCATTCCTCCAGTGCAAAGCAGGCAGGACACCGTTCTTGTAATACACAATCGGCACGTCCTTTGGTCAAATGTGTCAATGCAGATGGGTCCTCAGATACGTGGCCAGCATCCAAGGCTGGTGCCTGCTCCGCTCCGCCAGACAGCGCAGACTCCACACCTCCAAATTCTGCATCAAGCCCAGCTGCCAATGGCATCTCAGCATTTTCAAGCTCAGCTCGTCTCTCAGCTGCCAGTGCAGATGGGTTGGTATCACCATCAATCCACTGGGCTTTGAACTAACCTTTTTCCTCCACTGCTATGACATCTTCTGTTACTCTCAGACACACTTCAAGTCGCTTCTCCAACCGCGAACAAACCAGAGATGAGTAGAGAACAGCATGTGACAGCACGTTGCGGAAGGGATTGTCAATGTGTTCCACAGCCGTCTGCAATGTTTCTAGTAAGAGCCAAAAGAAATGGTACAATGGAGTGCTCTTACCGAATCAAATCCCAGCTCAAATCCCCGACGCCAATATACTGTAGCCAAGGAGGCAGCTAGGGCTGTGATTGCATTGGCAGATCGCTCGAAGTAGGCTCGGTACGAGTCCAAAACGTCGAGAGAAACTCCTATCCGTGGCTTGACAGGAGTTCCCGGAAATACCCCATTCTCCAAGAGCAGCACGGGCAGGCATTTGCATTGGCACAGACGGATCTGCACCCGACTGATATCTGTCGAGAGTCAGGTTCACTGGTCACTATGGAGCGGGAAAATGTTCACGGGTGGGATATAGACAGGTAATTGACACAGAATTTATGCCAAAAATGCATTACAAGCATACAGCATCAAGCGAAGAAGCAATTGTTGGTCAAACTGCTCCATGGTATGCATGATGAAAATTGAGAAACACAGATTCCAACTTGGGCAAAAGAGTTTCCCAATTGTCTGCAGCCCATACAGCACGCTCATTGACTGCAGGCATTGGCTCATCAAGATTTCCGTTTGAGACCAAAGGCTGAACAGATGCATCTTCTGAGTGCTGGCTAGGATCCCCAGAATGATCAGGAAGTGTCTGTGGCGGCTCAAGAGGCTCGGAGAAGTAGGGATTATCCTCTTCTAGTGTCTTGGAAGGGCTGGGAATTGAGGGGAGTGGTTTCCTGGCAAGCAGTGCATTAAGCCATGCTTGCAGATGCGCCGCCTGAGTGCGCTTATGTGGGTGTATGTCAACCACCTCCCTAGCAGCCTTCCGTTTCATGGGGCTGGTGCTAGGTACACCAAAGGGCAGCTGAGCAGCGGCGCGCTTGCGAGGAGCCATTGAGGTTTTGAAGAGAGGAATATAACAGTAAAATTGATGGCAAGCTACCAGATTAGGAAGGTACTAGAAGCTCACGTCACTATATTGATCGCAGAAGCACAGACCCATCCGGACATGACGGGGCCTGTTAGGCCCTGATTTTGACCACTTCCGAGGGCCTTAGAGGGGGGGGTGTCATCTGTAACAGATGCACCTGAGGTGCGGGAATCGCTGCTCGATCATCCTGCCAACTGCTTCAACACCAAATATCTCCAAGCAGCAATTGTGAATGGTCAATGTTTCTCAAGTAGGGAAATTTACTGACTCTGTCTTGCTGGACCCCTGGTGTATGCGGTGGTTGAACTGCTCTATGAAGTTGTTGAACTGATCTTCCGAGGCCCTCTCAAAGAGTGCGCATGCAATGGTTAAGTGTTTGGTAGAGGGAAGATGAGGAAGCCATTCTGACTGGCTTGTTGTTGGTGGTGACAAGCTCACGATCCCTTTGACCACGTAAACGGACCGGCACTGATTGACAAGACAGGTGGCAATGTTTCCATCAGTCATCAGCCATCACCACTCAGTATTCGGTTGTGCACAACAGCCCGCGATCCCAGTTTCAAACAACTCGTCAAACGCAGCAACAATGCAAGACCGCCACAGAAAGAGTTCTCACGCCAGGACTGAATTCCTGGAAGGCCCAGGCAGGTCTGGAGGGTCAAGAGCAGACCAGATTCTCAGGAGAAATGACCAAACCTGTAGGAGTGGGACTAACTGTTGTAGACAATACTGCGCAGTGGAGATATGACCAGTAGCAATCACCTAAAGACACAGAGTCTCAGCCAGTGTAAGACACAGGAGCTATGCATTAGCTGTACCTCAAGACACAGAGTCTATGTTACAAGTCATATGTAACGGTTATTAGATCATAAGGGAGAATGCATACCTCAGCAAGTGTAAGACACAGGAGCTGAGGATATAGAGCATATAGTACTATGTTTATGTACCAGTCTGGAGCAGATATCATGATGTCATAGTGGAGTAATGATATCATAGATGTGTAATGGATGACATGATAATGAGGTCAGATATGAGGTCATTGTGGAGCAACCCAAAGTAATCTAAGAATACTACTTATGATGTCATGTCTACATACTGTGATAGTTGCTAATACAAACAAGCTTCAACACCGACCCAGGTCCTGCTGAAGCTCCCTGTTGGTGATGATCTTGCAGGGGATCCCATGATAGCAGAAGACTTGGTCCCGGGTAGGCCGTGCTGCTCCTTTGCTGCTGATGCCAGTACTATTGGTTCAATATGGATCATTTTTGTGAAGGTGTCACACTACACATGAATTGTATCATACCCGGTACTGACCAGTAAGGGTCCAATTTGAATCATTGAGATGATTTCCCATGGAGCGTTTGGGACCGCATGCGGATGCAGGGTCCCCGTTCTTGCTCTCCTGGTCTTGGTCCGTTGGCATGCCTTGTATGTCTGGACGTATTTCCGAATTTGGTTTCCTATCCTTGGCCACCAGTAGTTTCTTTCCACCATCTCCTGTGTTTGATTGATCCCTTTGTGTCCAACTAGGGGCGTGTCATGGTGTAGCCCAATGATCTTGTCCTGCAACTCCTTGTCCCTCGGTACATAGAGCTTCCCATGATACATGATGAGTCCATCTTCCTTTTTCCATCCAACGAGACTTCTCCAAGGCCGCCTTGATGCTTCCATCAATCGATCAAACGACCTTGATCTCATCAATCAGTTGCTGATCTTGCCCTTCAAATGTGACTTCTTGCGATCGGAAGAATTCGGGCTTCAGCAGGGTGATGTCCTTGTTGTTGTTCTTGCCCTGATTGTGATCTGCTTGTTGAGATAAGAGATATGCCTTGCGGTTGAGTGCACCAGGCCAGTGTCGCAAGGTGAAATCAAACTCTGCCAATTCTGTGATCCATCGTGCTTGTCATTGGTTGAGCTTCTGCAGCTTCTGGAAGTACTTGAGATTCTGATGATTGGTGAAGATCTCAAATGTTTACGTGGCTTCTAGCAGTAACTGCCTCTATTTGTCCAATCATAGCATGATCACAATCATTTCCTTGTTGTAGATCTTGTAATTCCGCTCGGTTTCGGTCAATGCATGTGAAATAAACGCGATTGGTTGCCAAATGTTGTCTTGTTTTTGGCTCAAAATGGAACCTGTTGCCCCTTCCAAAGCATTGGCTTCCAGACAATATTGGCCAGTGTCATTTGGCAGTGCTAGGACCGCATCCTCTGCAATTCTCTTCTTCAGTCCGTCAAATGCTGCACGTTCGTCCACACCCCATGACCATCCTGACTTCCCTGTCAGCCGTGTCAATAGTTTGGTGACCTCCGCATATCCCCAAACAAAACACCGATAGAAGTTTGTGAAACCAGGAAGGCTTGGACTTGTTTGCTGCTCCCTGGTTCTGGCTATTCCATTACTCCCTTGATCTTGACAGGATCCATCAGCATCAAGTTTTGCCCAATAATCACACTCAATTACTCAATTTCTGTGCATTTGGACTCGCATTTTTTGGGCTTTAGGTACAGCTTGTGCCTTTGGAGCAGTTGGAGTACTCGCTTTGTGATCTGCTGGTGTTCAGCCAGGTTTTCTGTGAAGATCAGTATATTGTCAAGGTAAACTACCACATGACCCTCGTTGATCAGTTCCCGCAGTATGTCATTCATCATGTTCTGAAACGTTGCTGGCAAATTAGTGAGACCAAAGAACATGACCAAGGGTTTGTATAGGCCATGGTTTGTGCAGAATGCAGCCTTCCATTCATTGCCGCCCTTGATCCAGACATTATTATATCCCCATCAGATGTCTAGCTTTGTGAAGAACTTGGCGCTGCACAGCTTGTAGACTAATTCAGAAATAAGCGGCAGCAGGTACCAGTTTCTGATGGTCATCTTGTTCAGTTTCTGATAGTCTTGGATGGGGCATAACGAGCCATCTTTTTTCTTGACAAAGAAGAATGCTGATGCCATTGGTGACTTTGATGGTCTGATCCGTCCACTGGCTAGGTTCTCTTCCAAAAATTTGTCCAGTTTGACCTGCTCATTTTGTGATAGTGGGTAGACCTTGCAGTCCACTGCTTTGGAACCTGGTTTGAGTTGGATTGCATGGTCCCATGCTCGTTGATCCAGCAGCGAGTTGAATGATTCCTTTGCAAAGACCTTGACAAACTGTCATTGTCAGGGGAACCCCTGCTTTCGTCCGATCATCCTGGGATCTTGCATGTGACCGTGCACGCGCCATCTGTCAGGCGTCACATGCTTCGGTCCGGACTTCCCTGCCAAGCGCATCCACATGACACCCGGGCCGGATCCCCATTGTTCCGACGGTCCGGCTCCCATTGTTCTCCCCCGATCCGGCCCCTCATTGTTCCCTGGCCCCATTGTCTGGCGCTTCCATTGTGCTTGGTCATCCATTGTTCTGTAGGCTATATATAGTGGGCCCTGACAAGGAGAGTCCCCAACTCGGTTTCTCTTTGGACTCTCCCTTGTCAGGTTTGCCAGTCTCCTGTACTAGTCGATCCCCTTATCTGACGCTTTGGACTCTCCCTTGTCAGGACTCTGAGATCGGGCCTCGAGGTTGCCCTTACAGCAGAAACCGAGTTCCTAGGGATAACTGGACAAGCTTGTGAAGACCGCTGATAGCGTCATACGCCTCTCACTTCCAATCTTGTCCCCTCCTCCCCCTCTACGATCATCATGTCCTACATGGAAGAAGAAGACCACGGGTCCTCCCCTGAGCAGCGACTTGGTAATCTAGAGGAAGCCATGCAGCGAATAGAGGGACTCCTCAACAACTTCATAATCGAACAGCAACAGCCTGCCCCTGTCCCTGCCCCGTCTCCGGCAGTGGGTCCAGGTGTATTTACTGGCCAACAGGCCAGCTCGAGACCCCTCATCCGCCCCAATCCCCCATTCGCGTTTGACGGAGATCGCACCCAGGGCAAGACGTTTCTCCATTCCGTCAAGCAGTACTGGCGCCTCCTCCCTGAGGCCTTCCATGTGAACGGGGTAGTATCAGAAGAGCGGGTGGTACGTTTCGCCCTCTCCTACATGTCCAAGGACTCGGCGGCCTCCTGGTCAGAACGCATGTCAGAACGCCTCGTCTTCCCATTTCCGACCTGGGCTTCCTTTGTGGCCGAGTTCAAGCTCCGGTTTGTCGAGGAGAACGAGCAAGACCACGCCCTGGCACGACTGGAGACCCACGCTTACTACATGGGATCCCGCGACGTGTTCAAATACACGGACGAGTTCGACGACCTTCTCGACTTGGCGGGTTACTCTGACAACTTGGTCAAGGTCACCAAGTACCGGGCGGGTCTGGACCCCAGAATCAATCAGGCGATCACGACCTCTGGTAACCCGCCTAGCCTCACAAACTACTTGGAGTGGCGTACCCGCGCATTCCGCCAGTACAACGCCGAGGTGGCTGCCCGAGCTGCACGAGGACAGGTGTTCTCTCCATCCCGCGCTCCGCCTCCTGCGGCCCCCCGCCCTCGCCCCGTGGCTGCTCCGGTGGTTGCTCCACCTCCTGCTCCCCGACCAGCCCCAGTAGTCCTCCCACCGGGCATTCCCATGGAGATCGACCGAACCAGAGCCCGCACCGGTGTTCGTCGCACCTGCTTCCGATGCGGCAGCCCAGGACACCTGGCCCGAGACTGCCCGACCCCCGCGGATGTCCGGCACGCTGACGTCCTGGACAAAGTGATCAATCAGCTGGGAAGCGACCTGTTGGCGGAATTAGTGGCCCGGCTAGCGACTACAGCGGCTGTAGAAGATCACGAAGCGGAGGTTGCCGACGAGTTGGAGCAGGGTTTTCTCCCCCGCGACGAGTGAATAGTACGCCCTCGATCGCCTCACGTAATCGTTTTGAATGTCTGTATGATGAATGCGACCTCATTTCCCCCGCAAACGAAACGATAGACGTACCCCCTGCCCCTCGCTCTGTCCCGCTGGTCCGCAAGGAAAAGTGGGAACGAAAACTCCCTCAGCGCTACGTGGTCGCAGCCTCCCCCGGCGCCAACTCCCTGCACCTCCCCCTAGAGATCCAGTCCACCGACAACGCAGTCCAGCTCGCCCTCAACGGACTGGTCGACTGCGGCGCCACGTCGGACTTCATCGACTCCACCTACGCCTCCGAAAACCGACTTCCGGTCCGGCAGCTCTCCCAGCCTATCCCAGTCTACAACGTGGACGGCACGCCAAATGAAGCCGGCTCCATCCGACAAGTTGCCGATGTGGTCCTGCGTTACCAAGGACACAGCGAGCGTGTCCAGCTCGCCGTCACTCGGCTTGGCAAGCAGAAATTGATCCTCGGCTATTCCTGGCTTCGGAAGCACAACCCGGAGATCAATTGGGACACCCAGGAGGTAAAGATGAGCCGCTGCCCATCGGGCTGCTCCACCTGCACCGAGGAGTCTCGCCAAGAGAGACGGATAGCCCGGATTTCGGCCCGAGCACTCCGATCAGCCCGACAAGGCCCTGCCCCCTCCATCTGCGTCGTTGATATTGAAGACCGCGAAGACGAGGCTATGCCACTGCTCCAGGAAGACGACGGAGAAGATTCCGACGAAGAAGAAGATTGTCTGGAAACCGGTGACCGTATCCTCTACACCCGTTTCAACCCTTCTGAAGACATCCGAGCCACTAGCACCGTCTCCCAGCGTCTTGCGGAGGCGTTTGCCAAGAACTCTGCCCCCCCTCGGGATTCCATACCCGAGTGGGCGCGTGAGTTCGAGGATGTTTTCAGCAAGGAGTCCTTTGACAACCTTCCGGAACGTCGCCCCTGGGACCACGCCATCGAACTGGTCCCCGACGCAAAGCCAACGAACTGCAAGGTCTACCCTATCTCCCCCTTGGAGCAGAAGCAGCTTGACGCTTTCATCGAAGAAGGCATGGCCACCGGCCGGATCCGACCCTCGAAGTCCCCTATGGCCTCCCCCGTCTTCTTTGTCAAAAAGAAGGACGGCAGTCTACGGTTTGTCCAAGATTACCGGGCACTGAATGCAATGACAGTGAAGAATCGGTACCCCCTTCCCTTAATCAACGACCTGATCAATAAGCTCAAGGGAGCCCGCTTCTTCACCAAACTCGATGTTCGATGGGGCTTCAACAACGTACGGATACGAGAAGGAGATGAGTGGAAGGCTGCATTTCGGACTAACCGCGGGCTCTTCGAGCCACTGGTGATGTATTTCGGCCTCACCAACTCCCCTGCAACGTTCCAGACTATGATGAATGACATCCTCCAGGACCTCATACTCTCTGGCGACGTCATGGTGTACCTGGACGACATCCTCATTGCGCACTCCGACCTTCACCTCCATCGTCGTATCGTGAATGAGGTCCTCCGACGCCTTCGCAAAAACAAGCTGTACCTCCGAGCGGAGAAGTGCGAATTCGAGATGGAGTCCATCGAGTACCTTGGCGTGATCATCTCCCACAACCACGTCGAGATGGACCCCGTCAAGGTGGCAGGAGTAGCCGAATGGCCGGCTCCCTCTAACAAGAAGGAAGTGCAGCAGTTCCTTGGGTTCACTAACTTCTACCGGAGGTTTATTCGGGACTTCTCCCACGTTGCGCGCCCGCTCTTCGACCTCACCAAGAAGGACGTATCATGGTCTTGGGGCGACAACGAGTCCGCTTCGTTCCAGGCCTTGAAGGATGCAGTCACCTCTACACTGGTTCTTCTCCTCCCAGACTCCTCTCGTCCTTATCGCCTAGAGGCTGATAGCTCCGATTTTGCCACAGGAGCCGTCATCTCGCAGCAGTCCCCCTCGGACGACAAGTGGCACCCAGTCGCCTTCTTTTCCAAGAGCCTTAATGACGTCCAACGCAACTACGAGATCCACGACAAGGAGATGCTCGCGATTGTACGTGCGCTGGAGGAGTGGCGGCACTTCTTGGAAGGCGCCGAATACCCCGTGGAAATCTGGACCGACCACAAGAACTTGGAGTACTTCCGCAAGGCCCAGAACCTCAATCGCCGGCAAGCCCGATGGTCGCTCTACTTGTCCCGCTTCGATTTCACGCTCCACCACCAACCTGGCCGGCTCATGGGACGACCAGACGCACTCTCCCGACGCCCGGACCACGGAGCCCCCTCGGACAACACAGATGTCACCCTGCTGAGGCCGGAACTGTTCCATGTGCGTGCACTCGAGGGACTTTCCGTCTCTGGCCCGGAAGCCCCGCTTGTCCGTGACATTCGGGAATCGCTTTCCGGTGACCCTGACCTTGAGGAAGCTGTTGCGCTCGTAGCGCGACAGCTTCTAAAGGGGATGAAGGGGGCCCGCTCTGCAGTCACAGCAGAGTGGCGTGTCCAGGACGGCCTGCTCTACTTCCGTGGGAAACTGGTGGTTCCGCGCGACAAGGACCTTCGACGACGCATCCTCGAGCAACATCACGACACCCGTGTTGCAGGGCACGCTGGCCGCTTCAAGACGCTGGAGCTGGTCTCTCGGAACTACTGGTGGCCCCAGCTTTCATGACACGTCGGCCGATACGTGGCCACCTGCGACCTGTGCTGTCGGACCAAGGCTCTCCGACGACTCCCCACTGGAGAGCTTCACCCCACAGAGATCCCCTCGGAACGTTGGGAATCGGTGTCGGTGGACTTTATTGTTGAGTTACCGGAGGCGCACGGCTACGACGCTATCATGGTGGTCGTTGACATGCTAGGGAAGCGTGCCCACTTCATCGAGTGCCACACTCGCCTCTCGGCCGAAGGGATGGCTCGGTTGTTCTACAAGCACGTCTGGCGACACCACGGGTTACCTATCAAGTATGTCTCCGACCGCGGCCCTCAGTTTGTGGCGGACTTCACCCGGGAGCTATGGAAGCTGGTTGGCGTTTCCCCTGCCACGTCCACTGCTTATCACCCGCAGACTGATGGCCAGACCGAGCGGGTCAACCAGGAGCTGGAGCAATACCTCCGGATCTTCACCAGCTACAAGCAGGACGACTGGGACGAGCTCCTGCCCGCAGCCGAGTTTGCTTACAACAACCACGTCCACTCCTCGACCCAACAGGTTCCCTTCGTGACGGACACAGGGCGCTTACCACGCATGGGATTTGAGCCGACAGAGCAGCGTTCCACCCGAGCAGAGTCTGCCAACGAGTTTCTGGATCGGGTCGCATCGGGCGTAACCGAGGCCAAATCAGCACTGGTCAAGGCAAAGGACGAGTACAAGAGGTACTATGACCGACAAAGGACCACCGCTCCCGACATCAAGGTTGGCAGCCGAGTCTGGCTCGACGCCTCGGACATCACAACAACGCGACCCTCTCGTGGCCTCTCCCACCGACGCCTGGGCCCCTTCAAGGTCACCCAAGTCGTAGGTCAAGGCGCATACAAGCTCGCCCTCCCCACTAGCCTCTCTCGCCTCCACCCTGTCTTCCCCGTGGTCAAGCTCCAGTTGGCCGAAGACGACCCGTTCTCCACTCGCCCGCGTCACGAAGAACCACCCCCTGTCCTAGGACAAGGCGAAGGAGAGGAGTGGGAAGTGGAGGAGATCCTAGACGCAAAGATGCGATACCGGAGTGTCTGGTTCCGAGTGCGATGGAAGGGCTATGACCCATCTCATGACCAGTGGGTCAAGCACTCAGATGTGTTTGCTGACGATGCAGTGGCAGCATTTTACCGCAAATACCCTGGGAAGCCACGTGTCATCGCAGCGGCCGTATTTGACTCGCTGCCCTTCAGGGACTCGTCAACCCCCAACCGTGCCTTGCGTCGAGGCGCCGCAATCAAGAGGGGGGGTGATGTCAGGGGAACCCCTGCTTTCGTCCGATCATCCTGGGATCTTGCATGTGACCGTGCACGCGCCATCTGTCAGGCGTCACATGCTTCGGTCCGGACTTCCCTGCCAAGCGCATCCACATGACACCCGGGCCGGATCCCCATTGTTCCGACGGTCCGGCTCCCATTGTTCTCCCCCGATCCGGCCCCTCATTGTTCCCTGACCCCATTGTCTGGTGCTTCCATTGTGCTTGGTCATCCATTGTTCTGTAGGCTATATATAGTGGGCCCTGACAAGGAGAGTCCCCAACTCGGTTTCTCTTTGGACTCTCCCTTGTCAGGTTTGCCAGTCTCCTGTACTAGTCGATCCCCTTATCTGACGCTTTGGACTCTCCCTTGTCAGGACTCTGAGATCGGGCCTCGAGGTTGCCCTTACAGTCATAGTTCGACCACTTTTTCATCTTATCATCGACGATCTTATCTTATCTTGGCACGACTTATCTTATCACGGATCACGGCATCAGACGGTCCGGGCTAGGGGTTCCAGGGGTTATCTCTATCGATTCGAGGCTGCGCAACATATGCTCCGGAAGGTTCTACTACCACCCATGACCAGCGTTCCATGCGGTACATAGTCTCATGACTCATTAGTTGTAGATATGACTCAGACTGGACTTGGGTATAAATACTGTAGCTACTTGGTTGTATTCTCCAGTCTTCGAATTCACTTCTCTTTTCGACTTTGTTTTTGGGTTGATTGTCACACAAACTCCCAGTATTGATCCAGGATTTTCCCTTCAATCATCTGCTCCTTTCCTTCTCTGCTTCTTCTGCAAACTTCTGCGCCGGCGTTTCTTTTAGCTGCAGATCCACCTCCTTCCCAAAGTCGACCAACAAGATTGATTCCCCTTCTTCCATGTTGGACGCGCACGTGTCCAAGTGAACTGAGTCCATGTCAATCATTGCCTGGTGCTCCTCATAGTCCCTCATGTAGCATTGCTCTGGGCAGTGGCTGAATTTCATTGTCTGTTCCTGCCAGTCCACCTTGAGGTTGTGCTCCATCAGCCAATCAAGACCAATGAAGATCTCGGCTTTTCCTAGACACGTCAGGAGGAACGTGCAGGTCTCCACATGAGGACCGATTCTCATCCTCAAGTCAACGTAATGGGTGATCCGGCCACTGATGTTCTCAGTGTTGTTGGCGTTACGAGCCACAATGGGTTGTGGAAGCTCCTGGATTTCCAATTTCCCTGCTTGTGCGTAGTCGCTATTGATGCAGCAGGTACTGCAACCACTATCAAGCAGTGCCTTGACTCCACACATTTTCCCCAAATCCAGACCTGTGATCTGGACGTAGAAATCCATTGAATGTCTCTTCCTCTCTGCCTGGTAGTTGCACAACTCCTGTGCCAATCTGCTGGGCTGGGGCCCTTCTGCTTCTTGGCCACCAATTTCCTCTGGATGGCATCTGGCACCCTTGTATGTTTAGGTGCTTCTGGAACCTTGATTTTGGCAGACTCCTTTGGCGCTTCCTCCTTTTCCAAGAATTGAGTCTCCGGAGCAATGCTCCCCTTTTTGGTCTTTGTTGACGCGGTTTCTTCTCCACCAGCCATAGATACATAGGACTCCAAAAATAATTTATCTCCAGCCGCTGTCTTTTGATCCTTTTTTCTTGTAAATACTCTCTATTTAGAGCTATCTTTCTTTGACGTTCTTTTTCCATATCAGCAATGAGAAAATTGTGAATATTGGTACATAGTGAGTCTGAGATTGTGTATGTATGAGGAGAATTGTTCATATCTTTAATCAAAACAAGTACAGATAATTGTCCATAGTCTGGACACTCCACCTCCTTGGCTAGAGGAGTGGAGCGTTTCAAAAACCCTTCTCGCGCAGCTTCTCAGCAATCTCCTTGAGGAACTTGTTGTCCTTGTCCCCGTTCTTGATCTCTTCAAGCATTGTGGCCCAATTGAAGAATGTGCGCTTCTTCCTGGGCTCTGGACAGTTCCACGCAATGTGCCCGGGCTGCTGACAGTTGTAGCAGATGATGTTGCGGCTGTCGGCATGGGTGCAATCAATTTCCATTGGAACCAGTTCGTTGGCAGCAGGTCGGGCCGGAGCAGGTGTGGGTGCTGCTGGTGCAGCCTGGGAACAGAATTGGGGGGGTGGTCGTGGCGTGCAGTACCCATATGATGCTTTGTGCAGCTGATCACGCAGAGTGTTTGCCTCAATGTTGACACACCAGTCCTTGAAGGCTCCCATTGCCCATCTCAAGGCAGCGCAACTTGTGCCAGCCTCATTGTAGAGGTAGGAGAGGATGAAGAGGATTTTTGTCTCATCCTGAGAGAATTCCAGGTGATAGACACCGATGTAGGTGGTGCACAAGTCCACGAAGCCCATATATTTGGACTTGTCCCCATCAAAATAGGGGGGGTTGGCAGCAAAGGTGATGTGGTGATGTCCTGACATGGTAGGAGCAGGTGTGGTAGGTGGGGGTGAAGGTGGTTGTTCAGAGGGCAACTCCTCAAGGTCGGGAATCTCATCTTCAGGCGGCGGGAGGGCAAGGTAGGGATTGGAGGGTCCAGGTTGGTTTTGGTGCACCAGATTGGGTGACGATGGTACAATGGGGGAGGAGACAGGCTCCCAGATGACGATGGGAATTGGAAGAAAATGATGAATTTGTGTGCTGTACAAGCACTCGAGGAAAGGTTCTTTTGCTAGCAAAAAGATCCCAGGCCTAGCTCTTCACGTGCCCGATGATCCCGAGGTGCGTTTTCCCGAAGGTCTCTGCAGCACTCCTTGTAGCTACCATAAGGCTGGGTCGGGCTCAACGTTACCCATGGCCTGGTGTTGTTTGCTTGAGATGAACTCGTCACTGGATTGCAGGGAACGACTAGATGATTTGGTAAAAAGGTGAGTTGGTTGATAAGGGTTAAAAGGATATAGTGGGCGTAGCAGTGAGGGATGCAGGGTAGGAGGTAAGAGGTACAGGGGTATGAGGGGAGTCTTAGAATTATGTGACAATCAACAAGAAATAATGTTGAAAAGAGAAGTGAATTCAAAGACTGGAGAATACAACCAAGTAGCTACAGTATTTATACCCAAATCAAGTCTGAGTCATATCTGTAACTAATGAGTCATGAGATCTATGTACTGCATGGAGTGCTGGTCATAGATTGTAGTAGAACCTTCTGGAGCATACTTTGCACAGCCTCAAATCAATAAAGATAATCCCTGGAACCCCTAGCCCAGACTGTCAGGTGCCATGATCCGCAATAAGATAATGTGTGCTGAGATAAGATAAGATTGTCAATGATAAGATGAAAAAAGGGCCAAACTATGACATTACCCCCTCTCTAGGGTCGATGTCCTCATTGACTGGGTCAATGGGTGTGAAGACATTTTTGTAAGGGTCGAACAGTTGTCATTGGGGATATGGGAGGCGCTCGTCTTTGGGTTTGTAGTGGTGGATGAGGTAGTCCCAATCTCCAGCTTCAAGCGTTGGCAGGAGGCAAATGTGTGTGTCTGGGTTGGATTGTTTCTTCTGCCAAGCCTTCAGGACCTTCTTTGCATGGGTAAGATGATGTGATGATTCCCAGGTATTCTTGCTATGCAGCCATCCCTTCCATTTGACCAAGTATTGTTTTCCTTGTCTGACGTTCCATTCTTTCACAATTTCTTCGACTTCCCATTTCTCTGCTCCTCCAATCATCTTGGCTATCTGTCTCTTCTCTTGGCAATGGGAGGGTGGTTTGTGATAGGATGTCAATAGTGACTTGTTGAACACTGGGTGTCTTTGGTCCGTATCTGGCAGATCCAATTTCCATGTGGCTGCTCCAACCTTCTCCAGAATCTTGTATGGTCCCAATCTCTTGTCGCTCATCTTCTTTGATGGTCTATCCGTCTCGATATTTTCCCCTTCTATGTACACCTTCATCCCAACCTTCAACTCCGGAACTTCTTTCCTTTGTTTATCGTAGTATTTTGTCATTTTTTCTTTTGCTTTTTCCAATGCTGCTTTTGCTTCGTCTTGTATTTCTTTGATTCTTTTTACAAATTCCTCCGCCGACTCATTCCTTGATTCCATCCTTTGCTCCACTCCCTTCCATGGGTGATATCCGTGATTTGCACAGAACGGCGACATCTTGGTAGACGTGTTCATTTTGTCATTGTATGCGAACTCCGCCATTCCCAGCCACTCCGACCAGTCAGTCTGATGGTAATTGACGTAAATGCGGAGATAGTGCTCGATCTCCTGATTCATGCGCTCTGTCTGCCCATCCATAATTGGGTGATATGCGGTCCCCAGATTCATTTTTATGCCCAACATCCAATTTGTCTCCTTCATGAAGCAGATGGTCAAAAACCAGTTCAATGTCACTATCAAAAAGTGGCATATTGACAGTGTTTAAGGGCAACTCCTGCCAGCCCAAAGGAAGAGAGCACACAGCACACAACAACCTCACATGAGTCTGAGCACAGAGGGGGATCCTTAGAGACTATCAAATACAAGGGAGGTATACTACTCACCTGAGCACAGAGGGGGATCCTTAGAGAACAGTTCAAGGATCCATGTGCCCAGGTGTCACACTATATAGTCAGCTGTGACAAGTGACTGATGATGATAGGATATCACTTGCCATGGAACAATGGCAGATGACAAGTAGATGATGACAAACCCAGATAAGATAGTGAGTGGCTCAGAGGGGCCAGTGATGGCCAGCTCCTGAGACACCAACAGTGGAAGGCCACACTGGAGGAGCCCAGTGGCCAAGCCAGTGCCAGGCCAGCCAGTGGAGACATTGGAGGCAAGGACCAATGCCCGACTGGGAAGAGGGGTGGTGTGGATGAGCACAAGGGCATCTGGTATGAGCCTGTATGGCAGTAGACCACATCCACGGGAAGAAGGCCGAAGTAGAGGGGGAGGAGTGGGTACCCTATCTTGACAAGGTGCTAGAGCACTTTGGGATGCAGAATGCCAAGTTTGCAACAACCCCTCTACCGGCTGGATGTGTTCCAATGCCAAACAAGGATGAAGTCGATCCAGAGCTCAGGAAGAAATTCCAATCAGTCATTGGATCTCTTCTCTTCATCATGCTAGGCACACGTCCTGACATTGCATTTGCTGTGACCAAATTGTCACAATTTGCTGCCAATCTGTCCCAAGACCACCTCCATAAAGCGCTGTATATCTGCTTCTATTTGGCTGGTACTAGGAATTATCACTACAGTCAGACGGGTAACTAGGCCTCTAAGGGGCGTCATGACGAAAGTGGGACCCACCTTAGAGGCCAGTTTTCAGCATAGCTACCACTGTGGTATGTACCAGTCTGGTATCTACCTGAGTGCAGGTATGTACCTGCAACTGGTGGGTGGGACCCCAGCTAGCAGCCGGGGGCAAAAAATACATTTGTGGGGCCGTTTCTAGGCTGTTTTGGCTGATTGTTTGAGCATTCTGCCAGGCTAGATTTACTCATTTTTTGTGCAAAACTTTGATCCACATCATTTCTGAAGTGATCCCATCATGGAAACCATTTTGGATGCTGCGCTCCAACCAGTGATCTGATCACCCATGTGTGTAGATGAAAGTTGTTCAGTTTTGTGAGGGCTACAACTTTGGTTTCTCATCACTTTCTTTGTCAGCATCAATCACATGCTCTACTGCCACGTCAAATGGCTCTGTTTTTGATTGCGCATCAATTTTTGATGGTGCCAATGATGCCAGTTCCAATCTCATCTTATCTTTCAGACCTAGATTGACATTTGGTGCTTACTCAATGGTGGTCCCTGATAATCAAATCCCAGAGAAATCTAATCTTGATGTGGCTGTGTGTGATTGGATCAATAATGTGGCACAGCTTCCATTTTAGGTTGCATGTTCAACTTACATAATCTCAATTGAACATATTGGACATGTGACTTCCTTTTGGGGATATTTTGATGCAACTTATAGCAACCCAAAAAGGAAATTTCCCTCAATTTTGCAATAGCACATGCTCATATTGTGGGTTTCTTCTCAGCTCTTTAGGATATATTCTCTTATGTGATTCCTTGCACTTGTGCTCTTCAAAACTTCTACACTGGTGTTTAATGCCTCTATATCCTAATTCTTTCAATGATACCCTACATGACTTTTATTGACAACACATACTTCTCTATGCATATTCCTATTTATTTCTAATGTATTATGCCTTTCAAGTAATGTGCTGCTGTCCTGGATTACATAGTAGAGCCAGCCATTGCATATATATATGGATAGTAACCATTGCCTACCCATCCTGCTTTACCACATAACCGGCTATTTCTACACCCCCAATTTACATGAGTCATGCCTTCATTGTTACAAAGAAGAGTTATTGAGATTAACATGAACATAGAAACAAAGAATACAGTGAAAGCAATGGTCACAGGTGGGAAATCAAAGTGCCCTTTGTAATGCAGGTATTCTTGCTTCAGTAACTCAAAGCAATGTTTCACTTTATTGTAGCAACCAATTCGAAGATTTTCCGCACTTCATTGATCTGAAAATGAGGCTGTATCTATTTCATTCAGGTGCATCTGGTTTTATATTGCAAGGTGAATAGGGACCCTTTGGATGGGTTTCATGCTCTCTGCAACATTGCAATGAGCTTTCACAGTGATAATCTTCCAGATTATAACATCTATTGCAGAGGCAGACAGAAAAGTGCGATTTTTTTCGAACTTGCATTGGTGGAATATCTGAATCATGTTGAGACACACTAATTCAATGTCATGTGGTCTTTTTCTGTCTGCCTCTGCAATAGATGTTATAATCTGGAAGATTATCACTGTGAAAGCTCATTGCAATGTTGCAGAGAGCATGAAACCCATCCAAAGGGTCCCTATTCACCTTGCAATATAAAACCAGATGCACCTGAATGAAATAGATACAGCCTCATTTTCAGATCAATGAAGTGCGGAAAATCTTCGAATTGGTTGCTACAATAAAGTGAAACATTGCTTTGAGTTACTGAAGCAAGAATACCTGCATTACAAAGGGCACTTTGATTTCCCACCTGTGACCATTGCTTTCACTGTATTCTTTGTTTCTATGTTCATGTTAATCTCAATAACTCTTCTTTGTAACAATGAAGGCATGACTCATGTAAATTGGGGGTGTAGAAATAGCCGGTTATGTGGTAAAGCAGGATGGGTAGGCAATGGTTACTATCCATATATATATGCAATGGCTGGCTCTACTATGTAATCCAGGACAGCAGCACATTACTTGAAAGGCATAATACATTAGAAATAAATAGGAATATGCATAGAGAAGTATGTGTTGTCAATAAAAGTCATGTAGGGTATCATTGAAAGAATTAGGATATAGAGGCATTAAACACCAGTGTAGAAGTTTTGAAGAGCACAAGTGCAAGGAATCACATAAGAGAATATATCCTAAAGAGCTGAGAAGAAACCCACAATATGAGCATGTGCTATTGCAAAATTGAGGGAAATTTCCTTTTTGGGTTGCTATAAGTTGCATCAAAATATCCCCAAAAGGAAGTCACATGTCCAATATGTTCAATTGAGATTATGTAAGTTGAACATGCAACCTAAAATGGAAGCTGTGCCACATTATTGATCCAATCACACACAGCCACATCAAGATTAGATTTCTCTGGGATTTGATTATCAGGGACCACCATTGAGTAAGCACCAAATGTCAATCTAGGTCTGAAAGATAAGATGAGATTGGAACTGGCATCATTGGCACCATCAAAAATTGATGCGCAATCAAAAACAGAGCCATTTGACGTGGCAGTAGAGCATGTGATTGATGCTGACAAAGAAAGTGATGAGAAACCAAAGTTGTAGCCCTCACAAAACTGAACAACTTTCATCTACACACATGGGTGATCAGATCACTGGTTGGAGCGCAGCATCCAAAATGGTTTCCATGATGGGATCACTTCAGAAATGATGTGGATCAAAGTTTTGCACAAAAAATGAGTAAATCTAGCCTGGCAGAATGCTCAAACAATCAGCCAAAACAGCCTAGAAACGGCCCCACAAATGTATTTTTTGCCCCCGGCTGCTAGCTGGGGTCCCACCCACCAGTTGCAGGTACATACCTGCACTCAGGTAGATACCAGACTGGTACATACCACAGTGGTAGCTATGCTGAAAACTGGCCTCTAAGGTGGGTCCCACTTTCGTCATGACGCCCCTTAGAGGCCTAGTTACCCGTCTGACTGTAGTTGAATTATTCGCTCATTTTCAATGGTGCGACGGATAGAGGGCTAATTGCATTTAGCGATTCAGACTGGGCTGCTGATCCGATCAAGAGGAGGTCTACCACTGGTTTCTTCACGAAATTGGCAGACGGGATTATTTGCTGGCAGTCTAGACTTCAGCGCACTGTTGCGCAGTCTTCGACCGAAGCAGAATACATGGCGATTTCAGATTGTAGTCGCCAGGTGATGTGGCTGAAGAGCGTCCTTTCGGAACTCCAGTTCAAGCTCACCATCCCAGTACCCATTTGCGGTGACAATCAGGGTGCACTCTTCAGTGGCAGCAATGCCTACCGAGACCGCAGGATGAAACACATAGACATCCGCTATCACTACATTCGTGAGCGAGTCGAAGAAGAAGAGGTTGAACTGTTCTTTATCCCAGGCAGTGAAAATCCTGCAGATATGTTCACCAAGAACCTAGGACGCGTCAAGTTCGAGAAGTTCAGGTCTCAACTGGGACTTGAGTTCAACTCGTCCTGAAGGATTGGCCAATGAAGATTTCGCTTTCAAAACACTATCTTGTGGTTTTCAGCATGGGGGAGTGTTGATCAAATATCATCTGTCAGATGGATGTCACAGGACACATCATATGACTCCATCACATGTCATCTAGAGTCATGCCAACTCATATCAATAGACACAAATAGCCCCCTGTATTGTATATAAGAAGGGCTCTATTACCCTGTAATCTAAGTCTCTTGACTACTCCCCCATGGTGCCCACACTAAGCTTTCACTCACAGAGGTGAGCTGCTAGACGCTCTCCCCAGTGCTCAACACTTAGTGTGATGGCTCCAGGGTTTTCACATTGCTTATCAATGATCACTGTGGCATAACCATTTGACATGAGCAGACCTCTCTGGGTTTCCATACCAAAGCTCAACTTGTTGAGCAACTTTTGAGTAGCGTGTCTGCCATCAGAGATCTCGTTTCAGAGCATGGGCCATTCCAGAGCAAGCAACATCTGGACCGGTGATCCGGCTTTGCATGAATGCAGTAACTGCTTTCTTTGTTGCCCCAGGTTACGCCGTAGCCAACCACAGACTCAGATGCAGGGCATTAATGAAGCAAGCAGACAAAGAGGGAGTTGAGCTGTTCCCTGAAGTTGTAGAAAATGTAAACATTCATATGTCAAAATGACACTTCTTTTACATAGTATCTATCTGAGGAAAGCTATCATGGACTCGCACAACACAAGAAAAATGGTACGATTTGTTTAGTGGTTCAACCAGCGTGAGAAGTGATGGAGGCAGGAAGCGCATTGTAGGTCGGACACAGCTGATCCCACTCCGAAGGGGGGACCAGCTCCGAGTTCCAGTCGGGCACATCCTCCGCAAGCACAATCGCAAAGCCGTTCACCAGGTGCCAGTCGATGTGGCAGTGGAGGAACCACGCTATTCGATCGTCAGTTACACAGTGCCGAACATAGGAAACTTAAACACGCACGTCCGCGGTTATCGGTGAAGAACCGAATCGTGACGTTGTCACCCTCGTTCCCAACGCTGACCACGTCGCGGCGAGCAGGGTTGACATAGTTGTAGGTACTGCTGCCGGCCGGGCGGATGACATCAAAGACGTGCCCGTGCAAGTGGAACGGGTGCTGACAGGGTGCATGAGCAATTTAACCATGAGGTGGGGAAGAAGACAGCATACAGGAAAACCAATAACGTTACCCGCGGCAAGCGTGATCTCGACTGACGCAAAGTGCGGAAGCGTGAAGACGGAGCCACTGGGGAGCAGCGACTGGGCGGACTGGGCCCCGGACAGAATCTGGAGCAGCACGGGAACGGTCGGGGGAACGAACGTCACCCCGTTGACCATGAATTTCAGCGTGGTCTGTGTGTCGGTCAGCAATCGAGCTCAAACAGCAGAGGATGCTGTTGGCGCACAGTGTTGAACGCCAGAGCCAGGTTGAGTTGCACATCGGCGCCACCGATGAAAGCGCCGCCGGGGGCACCAGGGTTGACGAGCGGGTGGAGGTTGACCTCGTTGACGAGGCCGTTGACCGACGTGTCCTGCGAGGTCGTAGGCTCGGATTCGTTCGCTCCGATGTCTAGAAGAGGGCGGATGAGATGGGTCACGGCGCAAACGAAACACAAGGGCGCACATCGGAGAATCGCAGAGTTGATCCCGCCGGCGAACCCAGCTGGGCCCGTGTTCGGGTTCGCGCGAATCCAGTAGTTGTCGATGGCCTGGTCAGCAGTGAGGATGAACGAATAGCGTTGGGCTTGAGATAGTCAGTGAGCGAGCTGTTCGCGCTGGCAAGATTTTCGGAGACCACTCACCTGCGAAGATCTGAATCGAGTCGACGCTCAACGGCTCGTGGAGGACACCGTCGGCCTCGATGATCGTCAGGTTCTGGTGGCCGTCGATCTGGAACACGTAGTTGGAGTCGCAGGCCATGTTGATCAGACGGAACCGGTAGCGAAGACCTTGGAAGACATTGATGACGGCGAGGGTCGTGTTCGAGACGGTGGCAGCAGTGCGTCCGAGTCCGTTGATGAGCATTGAGGAAGGCACTCTGAAGATTCGACGCATAAGAATCCGGTCGAAAGATCTGACCTCTTGAAATCACTCACCCAGGACCGACGACCGTTTCGGCAAACACGTTGTACCAATCTGCGAGCGTGATCACCGTGTCCTCGTTGTCAACGTCGTATTCGTGGCGGTAGGGGTCCTCGTGGTCGTAAATGACAATCGGGCCACGCAAGCCATCGCAATACTGAGTAGCGAGGTGAGAGTGATACCAGTAAGTTCTGAACGCGAGGAAATCAGATCGGTCAAATTTTCCATGCAGAAAGGTGCGCACCCGGCTTGCTGGGTGGTAAAGTCGTACGTGAACGAGTTGCCGGGCGCAATAGGACACTGGCTGACGAACGCGACCCCGTCCATGTAGTTCGTCCCGTTCTGGAACAGCCCATGCCAGTGCTACCGGGGACCCCATCAGCGCTCAGACGAACAGAAGACGGGTGGGCGCTCACAATCGACGTAGGCTCGAGCATGCGGATGTCTTGCTGTTGGTCGATGACCGTCATTTTGAAGTTGTCCCCGAACTCTGCGGTGATGAGGGGGCCAGGGAACGTTCCCCCGGCCAGAACGGCGGCGCGCGGGACCCCGTCGGGGGCGATGGTCTTATTGGCCACTATCAAGTCGCCAATAGGCCCGATGCTGTACCCAGAGGTCATGCGTGCTGCTGCAGCAAGAGAGAGAAGGGCGCGGAAAGAGAACATGGCGAGGAGAGGCATTCTGGGCGAAGCGAAGACTGCGATCGTCGTTGAGTCGGTCCATGGAATATTTCGAGCGTGGCCTTTATACAGTTGGGGAATGCGTCCATCACACCATAAATGTCTTGCCAAGTCGGAAATCAGCACTTGAACCTGCACGGGGCTACATGGAAGATGATTGTTCGTGAGGAATTCACCTTGCAGATCGAAGGCGAGGCATAAACAACGAGAACTCTCAAAAGGGGAAATGTCAGCAGCGAAGCGAGGTGCATCTGTCCGAGAAATCCCACATGGCATATGTACCAGATCAGCGCGGCAGTGAAATCGATACCGCTCTGCTGGGCCTATGGTCTTGCCCCCCCTCCTCGCCCTTCCTTCGTGTGAGAACATGAGGGGAGAAATTGCGCTCACACACGGTCCCCAGGTGTGGCCAGCTGTTCTGCCGCCACAGAAATTATTGCTCACGCGAACATTACACAACGCGAGAGTGGATAGACCTGCTTCCGATCCACGGACGTGGCTTAACCGTGGCCGAACCTAACTCACCGAACGACAGTGCTCTGACCAACTGCAGGGCATCGAATCGTGAAAATTCATTCAGTCAGGGTTTCGTTCAGAATGGGGCGTATCCTCACGTGTGCGCGATTCTGCGCCACGGTGGCTCATACTCATTTAGTGGAGCCAAAGAGCTTCCGGGCCTTATCCAGAGCACATTCAGAGTTGCCGCGGCGCATCCTCACATCTACGCGATTCTGCCGCGTGGTGGGTCACAAATGCTTGGGTGGAGTTAAAGAGCGTTTGGGCCTTATCTGTAGCACATTCAGAATTGCCGCGGGCGAGCTGATTGGGTAAATTCTCTAACTCCTGGATGGTTGTGGCTCTGTAGTCTGATGGGGTCACCATCAAGAAATTTCTGCATTTGGACACACTTCTTCAAGCTGACACGAAGAAGCACAAGAGATGAAACTGCACGTCTCCCAGATCACCTGATCGCGGAAGCTAGTCTGGGCCGCGAATTTGCAGCCCTGATCATCTGCGCGAAGTCGGGAAGATGTGACCGGCTTCCCAGTGTGGCCAGTCGGGGAGAAGTAGCCTTCACCCAAGAGAGCTCACTCCTGTGTGGCCGTCGAAATAGAAACGAGATCGCCCAGCCTTCTTCACTGAGCTCAGGATTATATACCAGCCACTCGCCGACACTCATTGAGCATTATCGCCTTGCAGGCCTGTAGTGATGCGGTTTTGTCACTGGCGGCGCCAGCTTCGGCCAACCAGATGTAAGATATTCCAGCTTCTTTGCGACGGTCAATATTGGGAAGCGCAGTACCTTCCCCGATGAAAACTGAGACGGTGAAGGCAATTTTCGTGAAATTTTGCCCTTCTGCGTGCACATGGCAATGGGGCAAGGTTGTGCCCGGTCTGATTGCCGTCGAAGACCTGTTTTCTTCTTTCATGTCATCCCATGGCTACTTGAGGTGCCGCGGAAATAACTCGCAGGACACACTGGTTTCCCAGCAAGACGTCACGCTCAAGTTACATACGGAACGGAACTTCCCATGTCGAATCTCTCCATCACTCAGGTAGCCATTGCCATCCAACAGATTCAAGCAGTACTTCTGAACCACCCAATGTTTTACATTTCTGACGATGCATGTGGCATGACTCCGTCGTCGGCACAATTGATCCGAAAAGTCCGGGCAAGAGACGGGTTGTCGCCGCGTCCGAGTTTCCATCCATCGAATGAAACCGGGCATACTGAAAGTCCCGCGGAACTCGCGTATACGGGACCTAGCGGGACCCACCACCCACATCTCGACGATGAAGAGCAGTCCCGGTGTGACAATTGGATTCGTATTACTGTTAGGGGACGTACCGTAAAGAACATGACTATAAGTGCCGTTGTCGTCGAGAACAGCGAGGACATGTGTTCGAGTCCCAGCGGGACCCACTTGCACAGGACCTGAAACCCAGCGGGACCCACACAGGACCCACTTGGAACTCCTGTGTGAGTCCTGTGTGACCCACGGGCCCATATACAGGACCTAACGGGACCTGCACAGGACCCACGCGGGACATGTGACGGACTCACAGGACCTATACGGGACCTGTGCGGGACGCAGTACAGGACCCACTTGCACCGCGGGTCACCTGCACGGGACGTCGAATGCATGTTCTCCTGAAACGGGACCCATCGCTCTCCCAGGCCATGAAGCAACTTCACTCAGGTGCATCACTACCGAGCTCATCGTCGCTGGGGCACAGCCACATTGATGGATGGGAGCGACGTCTTGTTCATCCACCGGGAACGAAATTTGAGTCGACGATTTTTTGGGTCTATCATCATTTAGAGATGATAAGGTATCTCTGCACGTGTCGCACTTTGAGTCTGTTGACGAGCGTGGATACACCCTGGCCCCGCAATCAATTGATCACATGATCACATGTCACATGGTATGACGTAGCAAGCTGCTTGGTCTGACAAAGCAGCCACAATTGATCTGGCACGTGATGACAAGTGTCGGGCCGAAATCAAATTTCGGAGTTCATTCCCTCTTGGTGGCTCTAACACCTTTCATTTCGGCGAAATTCAGCACTGACTAAGTAGTAAATTGACATAGAGCTCAATGGTCACCATATCAACAGGAGGTTCAATTTACTTATCTCCTTCTGATTTGATTCACACTTAGTATAAAAAACCTGTAGTACAGTACAAGAAAAACAAGAAATCTTCTTCACCCACTCTCTAGAGTCTAAAGCGACCTCCCAGTGCTTTTTATCTCGCTTTCTCGGCGCCTGCTTCTGCATTATTTTCCCAACATCGCCCCCAAACCCCCATTTCGTGCTACAGACATACATATTGATCTCCCCGTCGTTCTATCGTCCTCTCGTCCTGTCCTCCGTCGTCACTATCGTCCCATCGCCCGTTCTATTGTCCCTTTGCTCCCCCTGTTGCTCACTGCTGCCCCCGCCCATTTCAGTTGAGCCTATTTCCCCGAGCCTGACCTTGTTAGGATCAGAATCCCACACACTATACTGCGCGAGCCTGAGCTGCAGCTCCCTCCCGCGACCTCCAACTAGCCCCTCGTCTCTCCCCGTACAGCTGCGCGCTCATACGCTCCGTAGGCGTGTCACTGTCAATTTCTAACAGCGGATATTCGTGATCTAGTGGAAGGACTGTTTGATGGGATAAGCCTGTATCACCATTCTACGAGCGTCCCCGGGACTTCACACGACCTACTACATGTAATAAAGGACTTCAGGACCTGTATACAGTAGTTACAGGACCTGTGAACGGGAGTTGTAAGCCGTCTGAACGGGAGTTACAGGACCCACGACTACAGGATTTACTCATAATTACTTAACACTAACACAGTCAGTGCAAAGGACACAAGCAAATCGAATATATCCGCAACAAATTTGGAAGAATAGGGGGATTACTTGGGTTGATTATGTGGGCATCGCCAACGCCATCGACGGCATCGATCAACTATCACTTAAGTAAGTAGTTACATATCAGGACAATGCCTCTCGGTCCTTGTCAAACAAATGTGGTTAATTATGTCCTACTTATATGATCCACGGACTGAAGTCTCTTCCTGAAGTGTTTCAAAGTGGAACAGGTCCTGTACAACTCCCGTACAGGACCTAGCGTGACATGTCACAACGACACAGGACCCAACGGGACCCAAGTTCGAGTCTGGGTCATGTCACACAGGACCCAGACAGGACCTACAGGTTCCGCGGGACTTTCAGGTAGCCCAATGAAACCGGATGAAACTATCCTGAGCTCCATCGATTCAAAACACCTGACGATCGCATGCTCCTTGGTTACTCGGGGCGGGGTTCCGGGAAATGAGTTCAACAACTCTATGGAACTACCCCATTCACTCGGAATCGAGCAAAGCAGAGACTGGTTTTGTCTCCTCTCCAATCGTTACCTATTCAGCATTTCTGCTTTGAAAGATTTGATTTCAGAGTGATTGCCAAGATGATCGAGCGACTATCCCGCAGAGGGAAGGTTTGTTGTGATCGTTCTTGGCCGATTTCAAGACCTCAGCGGGGACATGACGCAGTTCCTGTTTTCCGAAGATTGTGCCAGGAGGGCTCGGAATTCAAATGGCTGGTTCAGGAAATGATCAAAGAAAGAGGTAACATATGCATTTTACTGCCAACGTTCTACTGTGAATGAAACATCCAGAGTGCCCACATCAGAGTCATTCCAGGCTCAATCGCGATACTTTCACTCGTCTAAACAAGGTCTCTGTCAACGTTATGTGCTTGCTCTCAAATCCTTCACAAGTGTTCATATTGAGTATGTACTCAGACGCCGCTTCAAGGTTGATCTTGTATGTAACGACTGCTAGCAAAGTACCGTCCAATTTTCAAACTGTTCCCTCCCATCTTTAATGGCGAGGATCTTCTCGTATAACGCATCGCCGACGGGCCCCAGTCCCTTCCCGTGGCTCATCGCGATATCCGTCACCTTACCGATTTCCCGCTCGCCTTCAGAGATACCGATCCGCTCGACGGCGACCACCAGCACGGCCGTCCCTACGCCAAACGTCTCGCGGAGTCGGCCCGCTTGCGCCGCAACAATGAGCTCGTCTGTCGTCAGTTCACGTTCCTCAATTGCGAGACGCGGGAGAGAGGCGAGGAGTGTCAGGAGGCCGGAGGAGGGAGAGGCGGCGTGCGTGCGGAGGAGGGTTAGCACGGATTCACGCGTGACTCCGGGCAGGATGGTGCCGTTGAGCGGCGGAGTGACGACGGTGATCCCTGCGTCAGGCGACAATTAGTAAATGATGAGTGAATCAACGAAAAACACGCACCCCCATCCTCATCGTCGAACACCGCGAAAAATTTCATCGAACCGGCCTCTGTGACGAGCTTCCTCTGCCCGTCGTTGAGCAGCCACAGAACCTGGTTCTACCCCATCTCCCTCGCCAGGCGCTGCGGCACGAACTAGGGCGAGCAATTCAATCCGAGCTTGAACGCGCCGGTACCGCCTGGCCACGAGCGTACATGCTCCTATTGATGGTTTCGTACCGGTCATCGTCGGGCGGATGTATAAGCCGTGCCGCGCGGGATCCACCGCGACTCGACGGTTACTAGTTTTTTGATGAGAATGAGCAACTTGTCGGCGTCGAATGTCTAGGATGCATGGCGTCATTTCAATGACTGGGAGACGCAGGGGCCGCGATGTGAACTGGTAAGCCCATCCTTGCCGCTGAACTGACTAAGCGGGCAATGTTGACCTCGGGGCGGAACATCTTCGGCCGGTCTAGGGGATCGAGGAACGCCTTCATCCCCTCAAACACGTTCGTACAATACCGCAAACAGTTGCTAATATGACGCGCCCAGGTCAGTCACTGTGCGAACCAACAGCTCGAGTGACACACACCCCAAGGATCCAGTTCCAACGGTGCATAGGGCTTGATCTCTGGCGCTGACCACCCCGTCACTGGATCGTGCGACATGACAAGCATGTGGTCTGTCTTGGCCACTCCGAACGGGCCCAACGCCGGAATCTTCTTCAGCGCGAATGCAAGCGCGAGTGTCAATTTGTTGGACGTCAGCTGCGTCGAACGATGCTACAAGACGGTGCTGCAAGAGAGATCCTCGGAAGAGAGACGCGCGTACAACGAGGGAAGCTTAGACGGAACTCATTGTTTCGCTGCTCAGTGGAGGAGGTGGAAGAGGAGAGATGGAAATGATTAACCTTGACTATCGTCAAAAAAAATATGGGTCATTCCCCGGATCATGATGATCAACGATCGGCAAACGTGCTCCGGATCAAAGGCAGGACCAATTTCTTATCGTCAAAAACTATGGATCTAGTCATTCCCCGGCACATGTCGCGAGTCTTCATACAGATTTGCGGAACGACATTCCATCTTCGATCAGCTTCGTTTCGCAAGAGTTGAGCATGCATGTTTGGTGCTCTGGCCTTCAACCCCGCCAATCCCACAGTGGAGTCTAAATTTCGACGGTGAGGAGAAGAGACGACTGACAAACGTGTAAAAGCAGACGTTTTTGAAGCAGTCGCGCGGCGGAAACCCAGACAGAAGGTTGCAGCCATGATTTTCGACTGATCAATCCAAGCCCTTTCACTGTGGTCAAGAATTGGTGGTAGAGTATGCACAACTGCAACATGTTAACAGTATTCAACGATATCGCGCGGTGGTCCCAGATCGACTGACAGGAGTCTCAGCGGGACCGGCGGTGGTCCCGCGGGAGTCCTAGTTTGACCCGCGGGGATGCGAATCTCATCCGGCGGGACTCAAGCGGGTCCCAGCGGGTCCCGCGGCTAATTCATGTCGCCCCATTTCGAAGGCATGTGAGAAGTCTGGCCCAAGAGAGAATGGATCAAGGCTTTCGAGAGAAGTGGAGCCAGATTTACGGCATCACAGGTCTTGGCTGAGTATCTCAAGGCCAGAAACCTCTCGTTGATGAAGAAAAACACCATTTCGAAGGTATGTGAGAAATCTGGGGTCGACGTTGATCCCGAGAGTGGCCATGTCACCTGCAACATCTCTCGCTTCTCAGCTGCCGACTTTGCCACAAGCCAAAGTACGTCAACCCTAGCCCACTTATCGCATGGGTATCCGGCAGCTGAGCCTCTAGAAGCGTTGGCCCATGCGATGGCGATGATGCTGAATGCACTGGCGAAGGGGGCGATAATGATGAAGAACCCGTCACAGCCCTTTCTTGACAGCCACGGGTCTACTGTCCCAGTCTTCTGCTCAGCCGCTCATGGCTCCCGAGTTCACAAGCATGTGGGAGGATTCAAACGATGATGAAGTCACCAAGCCACCAGCGCACCTGACTACACCAGAGAAGCTACAATTCTCTTGACACCCTGAAGCGCCGCCTCGATAGGGTGCGAAATCAACGGAATCTTGCCACAGCTCACGCTGGCCCTGAGAAATCCCACATCGAATCTATCCAAGAGGAGTTGAACACGAAGAAGAAAACTTCTGGGGAGCGGATTGTCCATACACAGTCTCGAATCGTCACTGCGACTGAGGGTCGGGAGGAGGAGGCCGAGAAGCAGGAGAAGCAAGATTAAAGAAGGCAGCAGTGGCAATAGAGCGGCAAACAGGGAAGGGCGATGAAGCTGCTGCTGTCCGGACCCGGCGCCGCAATCTTGGGCAAGCAGGCATGAGGTTCCCTGGAACTCTGGAGACGCAAAAAGTGGGCCAGCTTCGCGACATTGCACGGACACTAGGCCATGCTGAATACGGCCAGAAGAATGCTCTTCTCGACTCTTCTCGACCGTATTACGGCGCATTTTGCTCAGCACGAGAATGCCGAGCTTCTCCTAAGTAGATCCTCGGTATGCTTTGCTGCTAGGGAAACGTAAACGCGACGACTTCACCGAAGGACCATCATACAATGAGTCAGATTTGTCACCTCTCCAACGATCCCACCTCAGAGATACCACACATATTATTCCGTCCCTCAGTGCTAACCAGGCACCACCGCACTTTACAAGTAGCTACAACTATACTACTTGGCACTCTATGTAGATATTTCAGCAAGTGACACACACTTGCTACTGCGTAATTGCGTGCAGCGTTGCCAAGATGTGCCGGAGTGCACCAGAATGTGACCCCGTGTGACAGACGTTTGCATAAGGGTCAGCCCCGCCAAAAAAAGTGATCGTTTCGGCAACTTCGTGGCTTCATCCTCTGCCAACAGATAGCGAGTAGATTTTTGAAGCACATTCCCCAGGGCTCCAACTTGAGTATTCTCAAATTTATTTCTTCTCGGTGTGTGTTATGCAAGCTAGCGAGGCCTCCATCAAAATGTTTGAAGATCAGGGTCTTTAAGCATGTCGTAATGGATGTCGCTGACTCTGAGGTGATTACGACTTTGCCTTGGCGTACGGCTCCGCTGAGGGGCTCCCTTCCGCTTCCCTTCCCTCTGTTGCACTTGGCACATAGGAAAGCTGCCCACATGAGAAATTTCACGCGCTGGGCGCTTTTTCCGCAGACGAAGCCTCGGACTTGGAAGATCACCGAAAGCTCAGCCGCGTCATATGTGAGACGGCTGGTACATCATTCAGTGATTCTGTCCGACCAGATGCAAAGAAGCATCAATCGAGGTGCCAAGAACCCGCGGGCAATCTTCCAACACCAATCACTACTTACATGTACAGTAATGAGTTGCAGAAAGGTCCGCGGCAATGAGCCGCGAGATGAGAGAGTGCGACTCGATTATCCGGAGCGTTGGCGCTCATCCGGAGACCGTTGCGATCAACAGTATCAGCCCACCCGCAAACGTCGCCCGCCGAGAAACATGTGCACCGTCGAAACCACCTCATTGGAGGGCAATGAATGGCATGAGACCACACCATCGTGGAACCGCAACAGGATGACGCATTGATTGACCATACCGGACGAATAGTTGCACCGGTTCGTCATCCTGTCTCAGGTATATATGCGTAGCACCTTCCCTTTCGTTCCGGTTTATTGATCCTCGCATACTCTTTCTCGCAACACATTTTCACCAACACTTCTGAAAAATACCACACACGATGGCTTCCACCAGCAAGTCCGTTTACAACATCGGTATTTCGGGCGGCGGTCCACGCGCCACGGAGCTCATCAGCGCACTCGTTTTCAACCATCATGCCAAATCGGAGGAGATCAAGGCGGTGGAGGCGGAGGCCGATCCCTTCATCACCAAGATCACCGTGTTCGAACAAAAGCGCGAGGTGGTGACGGGCACCTCCATCGACACGAACGACGATGCTGCCTTGAACACCGGCATCTGGGGTGGGATCAAGCTCGCCCACCCCGAGCGCATTCCGGAAAAATACGAGGCCATCATCGCCAGGCTCAACGACCCCCCCGCTGCCGTGGCGGACGAGGCCAAGCGCAACCCGGACCATGCCGACGATCTTAAAGTCACGAACTTGGCCGCACGCTCCTTGTTCTTGAACGCACAGGACTGTCCCAACGGGTTCGATACGTCCAGCGCCTGTGCCGACCGCGGCTTCATCGGCAAGGTTCACCAGACCAAGTTTTCCAAACTGCTCGACCATGTACGCCTGCACGTTCCGGACATCGAGATCGAGATCCTGAACGAGCACACGGTTATCGACATCGACCTCACCGATCGCCTGCATCCGACCTTCGTCGTGGAGAAACGTGGCGAGGCCGAGCCGCAGCGCCATACCTTCGACCTCGCTATCCTCGCCAACGGAACGACGATGGGTAGTCCACTGGACAAGGATGTGCAGTCAGTGGCGTTCTCGGGAACGCCCAATCACGAGGCGGTCGGCAAGTATCTCGGAACACGCGGCGCTCTGGATGCCGATGGACGGCTCAAGTCGGGATGCCGTCTCGCCGTCGGCGGCCTCAGCCTGTCCGCCTACGATTTCGTTCCGATCCTGATGCAGTACACCGACCTCTTCAAGCCGGAGGGCAATGGTTACATTCTGGACGAGAGCGAGGTACACAAGTACCGGAACCTGATCACGTTTATCAGCAGCTCGATCAACCCCGCCCCGCCCAGGCTTGCCACGTCCGTCACGTGGCCCGGAGATGCATGCTTCTTCGACACGCGCCATGTCCACGCCGTGCGCCTGCAGAAAGGCTACGATTGGGTCACCTTCCTCCGTTCCTTGGTCCAGAGCAACACCGCCTATGAACTCGGTAAGCATCCAAGTGAGATTGACGCTCCGAAATCGGCCGCCGAAAGAATGGAGGATTTCCGGGTCCAGACGGAGATCTACCGACGAGGAAGGAACGAGAAGACGGAGTGGGGCTTCCTTCGTGTCGGCAACGGCGCCATGCTACACGGCTACGGCTTGGAGAAGGACATAGGCGAAGCCGTCAAAATCATGGCCGAGGAAGCACCGCTCGCCTGGCGTGGACACGACATGTGGGACAACCGTCGCTCCGCCCTCTACGAACCCACTAAACCCGAAACGGCCAAGCTGCGCTCGAACAAAGAGCTCCGAGACAGCTGGGAGCGGCTTCAGCGTGTTGTTGCCGCTTCTCCTCCCGAGATCCAGTCCATGGTGGCCTCCCTCTTCGCCAGCGGTGTGGCCCGTCACGTCCAGGGATCCTTCAAGGACATCACCCTCAAGGAAGCGGGTAGGACCGGTCTGCGTGACCTGACATTCGATGGCTTGATCGTTCCTCCGGTCCTCACTCCAGAGGCTGACCGAGTGCTCCAGGCCCTGCATGGCAAGGTCAAGGAAACCGTTCCGGGACTGCCGCACTATGCGAAGGGCAGGTTCCTCCAGACACGTACCAGCTGGCCCGTCAACGTCATCGACGCCGGAATGGGTGGCCAGGGAACGCTGATCGACAGCGCGGACGGCGGCAAGTCGCTTATCGGTCAGCGATGGGGCGACACCAACACTCACGCCTCCGCCGTGCACTGGGCAAGCCGCTGCGCCCCGATGGTTCAGATTCTGTCGATGGCGTGGTCGCGTGGACACCCCGACCCCATCCAAAAGATGCTGCAGCAACATCGCCAAACGACACCCTGCGCCGAGCAGTTCGCTGCGGAAATTACGAAGTTTCTGCCGCAGTGGCGTGAAGTCCAGGAGCGGGCCGCCTTCCTGGAGGCCTGCAAGGAACTCACGCAGCCTGGCGCCTTCAGGGCTCTTGCCGCTCATTTTGGGACGCGTGAGGAACGCGATGCGGCCATCTTCGCATGCGGGAACCCGGCCGTGACCAGGAAATACAGGGAGAGCCTGGCCAGTTCCCCGGCCTTCGACCCTGTGTCCCCGGCGGAATATCAGGAAAGATTCGTCGATTTCACCGACGAGGAGCTGGAGATCAGCTGCAAAAAAGTGGCAGAAGATATCAACAACTACTGTTGACGATCACATCAGTCATTAGTAATGATAAGTAGTTACCAATTACTTATCGTTACTTATCTTACTACCGTCCTCCTGTTTGTTCCACTGGCTTCTGGATGGTACCGATATTTATATACAGGAGGTAGCTCACAGAAGAATATCAGTTCTCATCCTTACATTCTCAATAGGTCATGGGCCGTAACTGAAGCACTCTCGAACATTTTTTTGTCGCTCTCACTCTCACACTACGTCATCGGGTTGCTTGCCTGATCTATGGAGGCTTGGAGCATCGCGCTTTTTAACCGAGTGTCAGACGCCATGTCCTGATGATTGATTGATGATCGGACATATTCGGTGGGACCCCGAAGACATTTGGACGCCGTGGAGCGTACGTCGTACGTCGCAATGATTCTCGGACTCGTCTACTGTGAATTGAGCAGTCGTTTTTGTGAGATAGACCCAGTTCAGAATGGATAAATGTATCAAAATTTTACGCCCTCATCAGATACCTTCCAGGGCAACCTTCCAAATGCGCGGCAGTACACATTGCATTGGTGCCCGTCTTCGAATCTGTCAAAGATACTGGGAATGTTGGCTTGTGGCGCATGTCTGTGAGTGGCTCGATCGGAATCAAAGACGAAAAGAGGGAGAAAACGGGAGATATTGAGTCACCATTTGTACGAGAACACGGAAATACGCATCCATCACGTCACGTGGGTGAAAGTGTGACAGCCACAACGGGCACGGAAGGGAATACTTTTAGTCAAACTAACAACGCGGAAACAACCTAGTAAGACATACAAACAACTCTGTGGTTTTGAGTTTCCACCCCATTGTATGGAGGCCGGGAACAGCATGCTGATTCGCGGCGCGAAATGAGATCACTGTCTGATTGATTGATCGCTGCACGTGTTCGGCATCATTCACGGCATATCACATTGTACTTTGTTGCTTGTGCTCTGTAAGGTTTATAAATGCTAGTTAATGTTCACACCAGTGAGATACCATATTGTATGTATGTATTCTTGTTAACAAGCGTTGATTTCCCCTGGTCCTGAAATTGCTCGGTCATGTGCAGCTTTGATGAGTCAGCAAGGTCGCCGAAACACTTTCACGTGATCCAGTCTCATTATTGCGGACGCCCTGGGCAGAAATAGGCCCACGGACACATAGGGTGAACATCCTCTGCCAGCCTACCTACTTTTACATTCAATTTCTCGACATCTTGAGCAACTTTTACTCTATTTTCGAAGGGTTAATTCGATTTTTCTCCCTAAGCTTCTAGGCCTTTACCAACTCTTGAACGCACAGTGGCTATTCCCGCTACGCGTTTACAAGACCCTGAATTGATGAATGTTGAGCACTGGGGAGAGCGTCTAGCAGCTCACCTGTGTGAGTGAGAGCTTAGTGTGGGCACTATGCGGTAGTAGTCAAGAGACTTGTTATTAAAGGGTAATAGAGCCCTCCTTATATACAATACAGGGGGCTATTTGTGTCTATTTAGGACGAGTCAACATGACTCTAGATGACACGTGATGGAGTCATAAGATATGTATCACGACATCCATCTGACAGATGATAAGATCATCATTTGATCAACAATGAAGACCACCGATGGGACGTCCTTGTAGACTTTTTCAATGCCAATCCATTCCAAGAGATCCAACTCTGGGTCTGTGGTCTCGCCACTGTCCATTGTAGACGTAGAAATATCGTAAGTCCTCAGTCGCACACAAGATGTGGTAAGACTCTTTTATTGTACCTGTAGACGTAGAAATATCGTAAGTCTACATGGTACAGTAAGTAAATGTATTAGTTAGAATAATAATCACGTACCCTCAGTCGCACACAAGATGTGGTAAGACTGAGGGACGGAAAACAATCGAGAGCCACTGTATAGGCGATCGGGAAAAACAAACAGACCAAAACGTAAGATCGCTGAACTCCCATCAATAAGCGCCAACCGCGTCACGCGTCAACATCCGTGACTTCGAGGACAGCTGCCGCCACTTCCGTCATGCCCATGTACTTCGGGAACCGGCTGGATGGCGCAGCGTTTGGGAGCCGGGAACGATGGGCAAGAAAAAACAATCAGGTAAGCGATTATTCTGATCATATCAGTTGTTAGATTCCCCATAGGCTACCAAATTCAGTATATTTCCAGTTGAAATCAGTCTTGCTGACAACTGATAAGAGTACATGAGCCCAGATGCCTAAATTCAAGTCAGAAATGCCTGGATTAGGCCGGGTTCCACCCGATTTTACACTGGTCCGGGGCTCAAATCTTTCAAGATTGGCAGGGAACAAGCCAAGTTTTACGCTATCTCTGGAGGCTTGCTGCCCTTTTTGAGGCACTTTTACGCAATTTCCTGGAGGATCAAAGTCAAAATTTTCGGCCAGATTTACTTTATTTCGGAGGATGTTCACCCTATGTGTCCGTGGGCCTATTCCTGCCCAGGGCGTCCGCAATAATGAGACTGGATCACGTGAAAGTGTTTCGGCAACCTTGCTGACTCATCAAAGCTGCACGTGACCGATCAATTTCAGGACCAGGGGAAATCCACGCTCGTTGATAGGCTGGCTACTAGACGCGCTCTCCACCAGCTCTGTAAGGGCGTATTTTTGCGCTTTTTACAGAGTTTACTCTTGAACCACTCGGTGTATCGTGTCGCGGTTGACAGTGTTGCGCTCAGTAGGGCTTAAGGGTCTACTGCCCAGTTGACGACTGTGGATAGTGTCGACGATAGCAAGGCAGTCAGACCACTACTGTGGAACTGGTCTTACGAGTCTATACCAGGCTCAGGGCCATTAGTGACGAACGCTTGGACCGCGACCATTCCCCAAAAAGGGATCTGTCGTTGCGTCGACTTCTCAAAAAGGGTCATTCTCTGCAGATGGGAACTTGGGCTGAAGGGCTGAGCAATGTACGACGTTCTCAATAATACGTTTACTACTGGACAGGACTTGGCGCTACGAGATTGAACCAATCTTGTCGCGGCAACTCCCGGTCTTGAGTTGGACGTTTCCTCAGATCATGCCACGACGATGACTTGTCACATGTCGGGATCCATTCGATCACGGGACATTGTGGACGCGTCGCGGTGACACTTCCAAGTGTCACGGCGAGTCGTGCCCATACGCCCAAACACACTAAAAATGACACGGGCTAGATCCGTGAACTGAACCATGTGAGGAACGGTTGGCGTGCCTAGGGCCATACGGCTTCTTGGGGCACCCACATTGGACTCACCCGCCAAGACATACCAGTTGGCCAATCCAGCATGTTGTATTCCAAAAGTATGATGCGGTGGGTTGACCCACATCAAAAGTATCATATGGGCAATGGGGCGGGGTCCTGATCACTCAGGACCTGTCCGATCGTCCAACTTTTCAATTACTCTAAAAGGAAACTGATCTTAGATAGCGTAGCTACTATGCAGTTGTACAGGACTTTACTGAGCATCATCGTAGACAGTATAAGTAGCGCGTCGTTTCTTTGTATTAGAGAGCTTTCCCCCGGACTGTGAATCATTCTCATATCAGATTGTTTTGTACAATTTGCATGCTGCGTGATTCCACCCTAAGAAGTTCTGCTACCCCTGCCCGGTCGCGACAAGTTGCTCCCTGAGCACTTGTAGCTACTGTGATTTGATTTTGAGTTTTGAGATATCAGCAAGTCGGATTCACCGCTTCTGGTTGAGTCGCGGCACTAAGTGTCGTTGCCTTTGGGCTTTGTTGAGATTGTTTCCACACCTCTAGCTTGGCAGTGCATCAACTAGTTGTGCTTGGGTAGTTTTGGCCAGTTGGCAGTGCGTCGACTTGAGAACTTTGGTTCCACACTTCTTGCTTGGCAGTGTGTTGACAAGTTGTGCTCAGGTTTTGGACGTTGGATATTGGCTGTTAGTTGGCAGTGCGTCGACGCGGCATTTTGGTTCTACTAGTTGGCAGTGTGTCGACTCAGTATATTGGTTGTATCGGTTGGCAGTGCGTCAACTCAGTATATTGGTTGTATTGGTTGGCAGTGCGTTGACTAGATATTTGGGCTTTGCATTGCCATCTAGATGCTGTCGCTACAAGGGATCTTAATACTTTGTATTAAGCTCTGACTTGTGATATTGTTGATTGTGGTTGGATTAGTGTTGGTTTTGTTTGTATAGAAGATATTGGTTGAGACACCACTGTTTGCTATATATATAAATTCTTGTCGTCGACTTTGTCTTCCGCGACTATTGGATCTGCGTCTATTGAGAGTTGTGATACTGGTGCTCTGTCCACCCCAAAGCCCTTGCATCTTTCACACATTGAGAAGCTGATTCCGAGGAGTGTGAACGTGTTTATATTTGGGTTTACTTCATAGTAGATTCACTTGTGAGCGCGCCCTCAGCGTTTCACTGGGTTGGTTTTGATGTGCCAGATCAGGCAACAATGGTATGATGGGGGGAGGAAACAGACTCCCAGATGACAATGGGAATCGGTACAAAATGGTGGATTTGTGTGCTGTACAAGCACTCGAGGAAAGGTTCTTTTGCTAGCAAAAAGATTCTGGGCCTCGCTCTTCACGTGCCTAATGATCCCGAGGTGTGTTTTCCCGAAGGTCCTTGCAGCACTCCTTGCAGCTACCGTACGGCTTGGGTTGGGCTCAACATTACCCGTGGCCTTGTGCTGTTTGCTTGAGATAAACCCTTCACTGCAATCGCAGGGAATGACTAGATTCTTCAGTAAAAAGGTGAGTTGGTTGATAAGGGTTCAGAGGATATAGCAGGCGTAGCGGTGAGGGATGCAGTGGTAAGAGGTATGAGGTAGAAGGGTATGAGGGGAGTCTTCAAATTATGTGACAATCAACAAGAAATAATGTCAAAAAGAGAAGTGAATTCGAAGACTGGAGAATACAACCAAGTAGCTACAGTATTTATACCCAAATCCAGTCTGAGTCATATCTACAACTGATGAGTCATAAGGCTATGTACCGCATAGAGCACTGGTCATGGGTTGTAGTAGAACCTTCTGGAGCATATGTCATGCAGCCTTGAATCAATAAAGATGATCCCCTGGACCCCTAGCCCGGACCGTCAGATGCTGTGATCTGTGATAAGATAATCTGTGCTAAGATAAGATAAGATTGTTGATGGTAAGATGAAAAAGTGGCCGAACTATGACAGTTCACATATAGCGACAAAATGAACAGGTCAACCAAAATATCACCATTCTATGCAAATCACGGATATCACTCATGGAAGGGAGTGGAGCAGCGGATGGAATCGAGAAACGAGTCGGCGGAGGAATTTGTAAAAAGAATCAAAGAAATACAAGACAAAGCAAATGCAGCACTAGAAAAAGCAAATCAAAAAATGAAAAATTACTACAACAAACAAAGAAAATAAGTTCCGGAGTTGAAAGTGGGGATGAAGGTGTACATAGAAAGGGACAATATCAAGATGGATAGACCATTAAAGAAGATGAGCAACAAGAGACTGGGACCATACGAGATATTGGAGAAGGTTGGAGTGGCTGCTGCATGGAAGCTGGATTTGCCAGACATGGGCCAAAGACACCTGGTGCTCAACAATTCACTGTTGACACCCTATCATGAACCACGCCCCCATTGCCAAGAGAAGAGACCCGTTGAAATGCTGAGGGCGTGCTCACAGGTGAATGTGCTATGAAAGTAAACCCAAATATAAACACGTTCACACTCCTCGTAATCAGCTTCTCAGTGTGTGAAAGATGCGAGGGCTTCGGGGCGGACAGAGCACCAGTATCACAACTCTCAATAGACGCAGATCCAATAGTCGCGGAAGACGAAGTTGACGACAAGAATATATATATAGCAAACAATGGTGTCTCAACCAATATCTTCTATACGAACGAGGGCTTCGGGGCGGACAGAGCACCAGTATCACAACTCTCATGTGACAATCAACCCAAAAACAAGTCGAAAAGAGAAGTGAATTCGAAGACTGGAGAATACAACCAAGTAGCTACAGTATTTATACCCAAATCCAGTCTGAGTCATATCTACAACTAATGAGTCATAGGGCTATGTACCGCATGGAGCACTGGTCATGGGTTGTAGTAGAACCTTCCGGAGCATATGTCGCGCAGCCTCGAATCGATAGAGATAACCCCTGGAACCCCTAGCCCGGACCGTCTGATACCGTGATCCGTGATAAGATAGGTCGTGCCAAGATAAGATAAGATCGTCGATGATAAGATGAAAAAGAGTCGAATTATGACATTACCCCCTCTCTAGGGTCGATGTCCTCATCGACTAGGCCAATGGGCGTGAAGACGTTTTCGTACGGATCGAAGAGTTGTCGCTGGGGATATGGAAGGCGCTCGTCTTTGGGTTTGTAGCGATGGATGAGGTAATCCCAATGTCCGGCTTCGAAAGTTGGCAGGAGTCGAATGCGTGTGTCTG